CAGCCTCAGCTACCCCCCTCATCGGCCGTCGTTGGATCCTTTGCCAGTAAAAAGCCGATGAGTGGACCGGTACAATGGGCCGGAGCCATCTGTAGCAGTCCCTACGAACACTCAAAATAGAGGAATGGTCACGAATTAAACTATATCCACCGTTAAAAATGTGACGATCAGGGCCAGGATAATGCCCCAGGTAGGCCTTATGCCTTGCCACCACCCCTCCTCTCTTTCCCCGTTTCCGACCCTTCCTTCGTGGAATGTCGCATGGAGAACGGCAAAGATAGGGTGGAACAGCTGCCAGAAATGGAGGAAGGCTCTTTGATGGCTTTCCCGGCTCGAAAACGAGCAACTTCTCTATTGAGGCCCTGATACTAATAAGGGCAAGGCGATCATATACCAGGGCAGACGAGGTGTTATGAAAACAGTGTAACAAACATATTAAAACAAACCACAAACACCACAGCCGCAGACGGCCAGCCACATACACCGGCGCCATCTTGTCAGATGCTTGCTATGCTGATTGTTCTGTTAAATAGCAATGGTCCTTTTTATCAGCCTTACATCTAGAAAGATGCGTATTGCGCCGTTAGAGGTAAAATTCTTGGACTGGCGCAAGACAGACAAAAGCGAAAGCATTTGCCAAGAATGTTTTCATTAATCAAGGGAAAAATGACAAACTTCATTGGTTATCTGATTAGTTGCTGATTTATTTGTCAGTCTTGTGATCAGTTAGTTGTTATAGCTCTACCCATTCTCATTATCTTTTAGATGAAAGACACAGATCTTGAAGATTCTGGTGAACTATATGATTCTGCATCAGGGAGCAAGGATGATTATATTCCAGAAACTGATACCACCTCTGAAAGTAACAGTGACAGTGATGCTAGCCTTAAACTAAACCTAAAGACAAAACGTCAGTCTCTTGAATTGGATGTCATTGGCTCAATGAGTCCCCCTGTCTGTGACAGCACAGTGCCAGACAAAATAACCTTTGGCATGCACAGCCTTGCATCTGAAGCCTCTGGAGCAGAAGAAGAATCCTGTTCAAGTCAGAACATAAATGACATCATAGTTGTTGGCACATGCAAGAAAGGAGATGGGAAGAGAGTGTACGACAAGAGACATTATTGCTTGTATTGCTGTAAGCCTTTTGCAAAAATGGCAAGGCATCTAGAACGTGCACATGAAGATAAATCTGATGTAACTAAAGCGCTAAGCTTTCCAAAGAGTTCCAAGGAGAGAAAGCAACAACTGGATTATATTCGTAACAGAGGAAACTATGCTCACAATGCTGCAGTTATGGAGTCAGGAAAGGGGCAACTAGTCCCATTTAAAAGGCCACCTAAAGAAGTGCAGGGAAATGACTTCATGCACTGTGCATACTGTCAAGGACTATTTACAAGAAAGGTCCTGTGGCGACATATGCGTAGTTGTAGACTGAAACCTGGATCAGTTGCCCCCAAGCCAGGAAAGAATCGTGTTCAGTCCATGTGTACATACACAGGGCCTGTGCCTGAACACATAAGTAAACAACTGTGGAGAGTAATCAGTGCCATGAATCCTGACCCAATCACAGATGTAATAAAAAATGACCAAGTCATTATTGATGCTGGACAGCACTTGTTAAACAAAGGTGGGACATCAGCCAAGAATCATCAGTTTGTGCGGGAGAAGATGCGAGAAATGGGAAGGCTGCTTCACAATGCTAGGAGAGTTACCACCATAAAAAAAATGGAAGATTTCATAAATCCAAAGAAGTACATGGAGACTGTTAAAGCTGTCAAGTTTACATGTGGGTATGATAGTGAAACAGCCAAGTTTGTGATTCCATCATTAGCAAACAAACTTGGGAATGCCCTTGTTAAAGTAAGCAAACTCTTAAAAGCTCAGGGTTTAATCTCAAACAACAAAGAGCTTGTGAAAAATGCCAGTGACTTTCAAGATGTCCATCAGGAAAAGTGGAATGAGATGATCTCAGCTACAGCGTTGAGGAACATCAGGGAGGCAAAATGGAATGTGCCCACTCTCATGCCCTTTACTGAAGATGTCCAAAAAATGCATGCACATCTCAATCAAGTGCAAGAGGAGTGGTACAATTCACTCTCTGAAAGTCCCTCTACAAAAGCCTGGATGGAGCTGACAAAGGTGTGTCTGGTCCAGATCATTCTCTTTAACCGGCGCAGGGAAGGAGAGGTAGCGAGCATGCCCTTATCTGCATTTTCATCAAGAGACACTTCTGATCTGCATGAGGATGTGGAGTGGGCGCTCTCTGAAGTGGAGAAAAATCTCTGCAGACACTTCTCAAGAATTGTTATCAGGGGAAAACGTGGTCGCCCAGTTCCAATTCTGCTGACTCCAAAAATGCTGTGTGCATTAGAACTCCTTGTTCAGCAGAGAGAGGCTTGTGGGGTTCTCAAAGACAATGCTTATATGTTTGCAAGACCAGAAGCTATGACACATTTCCGAGGTTGCGACTGCATCCGTGGCTTTGCAAAGGTGTGTGGTGCAAAGTGTCCCCAGGCACTGACATCTACCAGACTGCGAAAGCATGCTGCAACCCTTTCAACAGTGCTGAACATGACAGACACAGAGATGGACCAGCTGGCCAACTTCCTGGGACATGACATAAGAGTCCATCGTGAGTTCTATCGACTCCCTGAGAAGACCCTACAACTTGCCAAGATCAGCAAAGTTCTAATGGCACTCGAGCAAGGAAGATTAGCTGAGTTTCATGGCAAGAACTTGGATGAAATTCAGATAGATCCAGATGGTGTGTTCTTTAATTTGACTTCTTTGTTTGTTTTTCTGTGTTTACCATCTATTATTCTTGTTTCATTACACTGGTAAGCTCTACTTTGTCTGACTTTGGCAGAAAAAGTTCTGGACATTGACAAGGAAGATGGGACCATACAGGATGGAAATTTGTCATCTACTGCTGATGGTATGTAAGATACTGTCAAAATACTACAGTTTACCTTTATTGTGATAAACCTACTTTTTTTGAAGTGCCAATGCATAAAAGTGTTTCAGCACTCTTTGATTAGTTAGTTAGCTAACTGTTTTTTCACAAACTGTAATAGGCAGGTGTGTGTGTGTGTGTGTGTGGGGGGGTGAATTCTTGTCAATATAGTGTGTTTTCACAGAATGTGCATATCATTAGGGGAGCATATGGCTTTATTGATTGGGACTTGGAAGATACAATGATGTAAAAAATCAAACATAATTCATAGTGTACTTAAATGTACTGTAAGCCAATGACAATCATGTGTCTGGCTCTGTTTCTTGTCAAGTTAAACACAACTGTGTAGCCTGGTCAGGTAAAGTAAACCTCATGAGTTGGTGTGATCTTGGGTCTTTGTGATGACACTGTTGTACAGTATATTGATCATCAAATGTACTTCCAATAATGAACACAATTTTACATCTTAATGGTTTAATGATGTACTTTTATGAACAAATTAAAACCATCAGTGCAACAAATTGTACATCAATTGTGTATTGTCAGCATTTCATAGTACATGTAAGTTATATATCTTTCAGAAAATGTTGAAGTTTGATTATTTTCCATAGAACCACCAGTAGAGGGGACATTTCCTCCTACCCAGAGGAATGAAATGCCACAGCCCCTACCACCTAAGAGATGCAAACCATCATCAAATGATGAAATACTTTCAGAAGCTAGTGTGATGAGGGCTTCATCCAAAGGTGAACTCTTTACACATTTCTCATATGTCAGTAATGATTATGTCTGCTCATTTTTGGAGATGTTATGTCGGTGTACATATTAAACTAGAAATGGCCAAATGTTGTAGTAGCAGTAATAGCAGCCAAAAGGGAATGTAAAAAGAAACTCAGCACACCTTTTAATCACTGGCAATCTTACAACTGTTTGTAGTTTTGTCCTTTCAAATCTGAAACTGTTGCTCAGTTTATTAAACCAAACATTAACACAGTAACAGAGTGAGCTCTTAAACAAGATATTAATTTGCTTAACATGTGCATTGTGTTAAGCACATTGAATTGCTGTTGTGTATGAAAATGTGGTATAAATGTATTATATAAATATTAATATAAATGATGTTTCCATTTGAAATGTTTCCACCATGTTGCTGTCCCCAGCAGCTCTAAATTGCTCTGCTCTGTCTGCATATGAATCTTCACATGATGCTCAGAAAACTATTCAGTAGTTGTTGATAGCATTACTTTGCAGTTGCTGGAATCTACTATGTGCTTGAAGTTGGACTAGTAATAGTAACTGTTCTAATAACTGGTGATTAACAACTCTGGAGCAGTTCAATGAAAGGATGGATGTGTGGTAATAACTTGCAGTATTACTTACTCTAGAAGCAAATCAACTTCATGTAGCTTTAGTATCAATTGAAATAATTAACACAATTAAAGCTGCTAAAGCCATAATCACCACAGTAGTACTGATAATTGTTGTAATGTGTTGTATACATCTTTAGATGTAGTAAGATAGCTAGATGAATTTACCCAAATGATCCAAAATGTTGATAAGAACATGATAAATGCATGTGTCCTGAAATTTTTTTGAAAAATTCAAATTAATATCATTTTCATGAATGTATAAAAAGTGAGCCCATGACTGTGCTCTGCTTTAACAATTCCTTTCATAAGGTAATGCAATATGCATGGCCTATAGGAAAAATTTACCCCAGTGATTATTTCAGTCCATGTGGCAGAATGT